CCTAGATATCCTGAGACGACCTTGGAAAGAGACGGGACCAGACCCAACACAGATAAGCAACGGTGGCTTAAAAAGAAAATCAATTTTGGTCCATCAGTTGCCTCATGGGAGTTTGTAAAGCTATATTCAATTTCCCAAGCCGCACGTTTAGAAACTCAATTCTTTCAGCTTTTAAGTGCAACTTGCAACTTACAAATCTTATTCATCTGCATCTAAAGCCTGTGGGTTTTGAATGATCGTTTTTAAAAGGCCTTTTGCATTCAAGGTCTTCACAAGCCTCCTGTGGGATCCTCATAAGCACGTGGGCCCTTTGCTTTCTAAGAGGGAGAGGGCAAAGGGAGTGGCACCCTCTCCCCCATCGCAGATTGCAGTGGGGTGCCAGCGGTCTTCACTAGGAACCCCAATCCATGCCATGCTCATGTGGTGGAATGTCCCCAGAAAGAAAATGAATTTTGTCCATGCTCAGAAACCCCAGCACAGCCCCTGGGCTATGGCCTGTCAGACAGTTTCCAAGATGTACCAGGGATCTGAGGGGGTTGAAGACCAGGCCTGGAGTCACTTAAAAAACCCCTGGCAGAGTGGGGACAGCACTGGGGACCAGTTCCCAAGCCAGGGCTGCTCAGGCGAAGACAGGCAAGGAAAGCTCAGGGGAACCTTGAAGAGCTGCCCTATCTCCCTTCTGGAGGCCCTGGAGGGTGCATTAGGATTAAGCAAAGCAGTTCTGGGAGGCTGGGAGGAGGCCCTTCCTGTAGGCCTGTTTGCATAAGAGGCTGTGGTCTGTCACCTCCTTCCTGCAGGCTGGGCCAGGGTTGTCACTATGTGCAGCTGACACAAACCTTGAAACTGACTGTGAAGCTCTGAGACCAGGGCGGTGGTGATGGGAATTATACACACACCCCTGCACTGAGGCAGAGAGACTGAGGTCCTCAGAGACCACTCGCAAATCAAGGCAATGTCCCTGGCTTCCTACAGGAGGATCTTGGCACTGGGTTCAAATCCCAGCTCCTCCACGTATAAGCTGTGTGACCCAGGGCCGGATACATGGCCTCTCTCTCTCTAGCTTTACTTTCCCATCAGCAAAATAGGGAAAGTGAGCATCCCTACCTCTACCTCCTGTGGGGTTCTATAGGACTGAAGTCAGCCTGAGTGACATGGTAAGACCCCACCTCTACAAAAATACGAAAAATTAGCAAGGTGGTACACATCTGTAGTCCCAGCTACTAAGGAGGCTGAGGCAGGAAGAGCACTTGAGCCTGGGAGGTCTAGGCTGCAGTGAGCCGAGATTGCAATATTGCATAACAGCCTGAGCAATGACATGAGACCCTATCGAAAATTTTAAAAAAGACTGAAGAATACACTCCTGCTGTGTAGCACATAAAACAGCTTCAAGTAATAAGAGCTTACATTTGTGAGCTGTTTCTACGTGCCAGGACCGCTGCTAAATTCTTTCACCTGGATTATGTAAACCTAACAAGGGAAGTACTATTAATGGCAACAGGCCTCACTGTGCCATGCTTCCTGTGTTGTCAAGAACTTTGTTAGTCATTATATTCACTCCTCATTCCTTTCATTCATTCATTTATTCATTCATCCCTTCACTCATTCATTTAACTACGCTCACAGCACCTACTGTGTTACAGGCCCTGGACTCAGCACTTGGGCCAAGGAAAAAGATGATCTGTTCCTACACCCCTAGGAAGCCAGTCTGCTGGGGTAAGGGGATGGGGGCCAGTTATAATTTTGTGCTGTGAATGTGGGAATGGGGCACCCCCAGGAGGAGGTTGTGGGGCTTCAGGGGACAGGAGAGGTATCTTGGAGGATGTGGTCCACCCTGAGGCCTCAGTAAAGCAGAAGCCAGCATCTACACACCTTTGTGAGCCCCACATAAAGAGCACGAAGATGACCTTGATGGCACTAGGAAGCCACTGAGGGCTGTTGAGCAGGGGCTGCTCACTGGGTCTTTTGAATGATTCTGCCACGCAGACACATTGAGGGCTTGTGCAAGGTCAGTCCTTGGGGATGGGTGTACAGGAGAGGGGCAAACAGGGTTTGGGGTGGCAGGGCAGAACCAACAGTTCACATTTCTAAGCTGAGCCTGGGCAGGTGAGGCCTGGAAGGTAGGAGTCTCTGGCGCCATTAGCACAAAGAGTTGGCAGGAGGAGGACGCTCTACCCACTCAACCCTGGAGGACCTACTGTGCGCTGTCCACAGTGCTGGGTAACTGCTGCACTTGTTAGAAATGCAGAGTCTCAGGCCCCACCCCTGAGACTGCAGAAGCAAAACCTGCATAGCAGCAAGATCCCCAGGTGATCTGAGCACACTCAAGTTGGAAAAAAAATGTTGTAGGGAATGCCATTTTAGTAGGTCCCCCCATAAGCCTATGATGGGGTGCTAGGCAATGCATCAGGGGCTCAGTGCCTAGAACCTAAAAGTGGGCAGGGCCTCCAATGGCAGCACATCCTTTTCCTCACACAGCAGCTGGGCCCCCTCCACACTCAGATTAGACCCTCAGGACGGGGTGGAATAACAGCCCCATTTGCCAAATGCCTGTGAACCCAGCTTAGAGCTAAATTGCCCTGCTTGCACCTGCTCATGTTTTTTTTCTAGAGATAGGGGTCTCGCTGTGTTACCCAGGTTGGCCTTGAACTCCTGGGCTCAAGCGATCTTCCAGCCTTGGCTTCCCAAAGTGCTGAGCTGATAGGCGTGAATCACAGAGCCCGGCCCACAGCTCATTTTTAATGCTCAAATCAAATCCCTGGTGACCACGCTCACTTTCCAGATGAGGAGACTAGCTCGGAGAAACAAAGTGACCAGCCCAAAGTCGCACAGCCAATGGCTGTGAAGGATTCTAACATAGTTGGACTCCGAAGCCTGGGATTTTGCCTCTGCATCTCTATGCATGTAGAGTATGAGTCTAAAGTTCACCACCCAAGGTGGGATGGATCTAACACCGATGCAGAACAGTAAGTCCAAGGCAGTTTGTTACAGGGCTGGGGGTTCCACTTGCTGGGAAACTGTCTCGAGGACAAAGGGGCTTTGCCTTCCCACATCCTCCACTGTGAGCTCCATGGTGGCTGCATCTACCAGCATAAGTACCAAGCACCCAGTGCACAGCAGATGCACATGAACTTTTTAAGAGATAGGGTGTCTCTGTTGCCCAGGCTGGAGTGCAGTGGTGCACTCATAGCTCATAGCAGCCTTGAACCCCCAGGTTCAAGTGATCCTCCTGCCTCAGCTTCCCAAGTAGCCAGGATTCCATGTGTGCACCACCACCCTGGCTAATTTTTAAATATTTTGTAAAGGAGGGGTCTTGCTATGTTGCCCAGGCTGCTCATGAACCTCTAAAGAAATAAGCAAAGCATCCCCTTGACAGTTTTCCAACATCCAGTATCCACATGTGCTACCTCCTCTTTACACCTCAGTGCCCGGCTGACTTATGTCACCCTACAAACTCCTCAGCCTACGGCCCCATGAGGATTCACCTTGCCCTGGTGAAACCACCCACCCTCCATCCCTGCCCTTGGAGGAAACTGAGACCAGGCCCCCGGCCCTTACACCTCTGTGGGAAACATTTGTATGTCTAGTCTTTGGCCATGATGATTGGCTCAGACTCAGGCACATGACCCAATCAGAGCCAATGAGAAGATAGGTGACTCTTCCACTGGGCTCTGGGTCTCTCTCCTCCACTGGGCTAGGCGGGCAAGATATGTAGAATTACAGGTATAAATTCTAATTATCTTTAAGTCAGCCCTGGATGCAATCAAACTGAGACTAGAGGCCACAAGAACCATGAGACCGTCAGAATCTAAGCTTTGGAAATTGATTTAAGAATGCAATATAGGCTGGGCGCTGTGGCTCACACCTGTAAACCCAGCACTTTGAGAGGTCAAGGCGGGTGAATCACGAGTTCAAGAGATCAAGACCATCCTGGCCAACATGATGAAACACCTTCTCTACTAAAAATATAAAAAGAAATTAGCTGGGCATGGTGGTGCGCACCTGTAGTCCCAGCTACTCGGGAGGCTGAGGCAGGAGAATCACTTGAACCCGGGAGGCAGAAGCTGCAGTAAGCCAAGATTGTGCCACTGCACTCCAGCCTGGCGACAGAGCAAGACTCCATCTCAAAAAACAAAAACAAAAACAAACAAACAACTGGAAGAACAATACGCCTGTGTTTAGATACACAAGAGAAAATGGCTATTTACTGTCAGTTTCCATAAAACCTAGGGGAAATTTAAGTCTGTTTACTAAGAAGGAAGTTTTCCTGGAGTATTAAAAGGTTTGTTTCAAAGTTCCAACAAACTGTAACCTTGAGACCCTGAGTGCTTACTTAGGAAACTACGCCTGTTAGAAGTTTATGGTAGAAATTTGTTCAACTTGAAGCTTCCTCATGAACCCTCTGTGATGACCAACTCACTGACAAGGACCTCTCACTGACCTAGTTGCAGGTAATTCAAGCAGCACTCACTTATAATCCCAGCTACTCAGCGCTGATTTTCCTTAACAGAAATTTGAAGCAGCCACCCCCATCTTACCTGAGGCTGGAACTAACCCTGAAGAAGGCGAGTTGGGGGTCCTGATGACTGCCCGAGCCCCTACTTGGGGCTGTACCACAACTGATTCACCTTTGTGTTCCTGGCAGTTGGCAGGATCCTGGAATCTAACAGGCCCTCCATGTGTGTCTGAGACTCCAAGCACATTCCATCTGAGGAAGTCAGGGTAGGGCAGGGGGTGGCTGAAGAGCCCTTCCTCACTTCTGCACTAGTTATAATTTATAATTGTGTGATCCTCATAGAAATAGGAGTGGTTCTTTCCTCACCATTTGGGAACTTCTTGTCTTAGAAGAGACCAGAAGCATTAACACAGCTACAGTTTTGCTGCAGGAAACGGGACACGCCAGGGGCTCTTTGAGAGCCACTCGGCATTCAAGGAAAGAAACATTACGAGAAATCCGAGAAGGCAGGGACCCACCCAGCACCCAAACCCACTGCTGATCTTACCGAATGGTAGGCTGATCTCCACTCAGCTGCTTGAATCTCCGATGGAGCTGCTCGATCTGATCCGATGAGACTGAGAAGTGGGGGAAAGAGAGAAAAATGAGACAGAAAAACACATCGTTGACTGTGGGGAGAGTCTGCAGATACTCTTCTGCCCATCCCCACCGGCTGCTGCACCTCTTCTCCAAGCATCTCCCACCATGGCAAAAGCGAGCGCCGGGTGAAGCAGCAGAGGAAGGATTTCCCATTCTTCCCAGAAACACAGGTCTGCAGTGATCAGTTCCAACTGCCTTAGTAATGATAATACAACTAGTACTAAAAGCTCCCGAGATAGGGCAGTCATGAACCAGGCCATTCTCCCAACCTCTGACCTTTCCTAGTCTACTAAAGAGCAACTTTTTTTTTTTTTGCCCTGAGGCAGGGTTTCACTTCTGTCACCCAGGCTGGAGTACACTGGCACGACCTTGGTTGGCATCTCAGCTCGCTGCAGCCGCAGACCCTGCCTTCTGGGTTCCAGCGATCTTCCCACCTCGGCCTTCTGGGTGGCTGCAACTACAGGCGTGCATCACCATGCCTGGCTAATTTTTGTATTTTTTTTTTTTTTTAAGAGAGACAGGGTTTCACCATGTTGCCCACGCTGGTCTCAAACTCCTGGACTCAAGCAATCTGCCCGCCTAGGCCTCCCAAGGTGCTGAGATTACAGGCATGAGCCACCACACCAGGCCTAGAGAAACTTGCATCTGCTTGTCTGACCCTTCCTCTTCAGCTCCAGAAGATGGTTTTTTCCTAGTTAAGAAAGGGGCTTTGTATAGTCACAGACTCAGAGACAGATGAGTAGGGAGAGGAAATAAGGGTGCAGGCTGGTGTTGGACGTGATCTGGGAGACATATAGTGAGAAATGTATGGAGCCAAGAAATGGAAGGACTCTAATCTGGGTGACAGAGCAAGACCCTGTCTCTAAAACATGCACGATATTAAACAATGATCTGCGTTTCTCACTTCATTATCAAAACAAATTAATGAGTGAATGTTATCTCAGGTTTTTGTTGTTGTTGTTATTTTTTGAGACAGAGTCATACTCTGTCACCCAGGCTGGAATGCAGTGGTGCAATCTCAGCTCACTGCAACATCCAACTCTGTGGTTCCAGCGATTCTTGCACCGCAGCCTCCCGAGTAGCTGGGATTACAGGCATGTGCCACCATGCCCAGCTTATTTTTATATGTTTAGTAGAGACAGGGTTTCTGTTGGCCAGACTGGTGTCAAACTCCTGACCCTCAAGTGATCCACCTGCCTTAGCCTCCCAAAGTGCTGGGATTACAGGCGTGAGCCACTGCACCCGGCTATTATCTCAGCTTTGTAATTTGAAAACTGCAGCTCAGAGAGCACGTAAGATCCACAACACACAGAGGCAGAGCTGGGACTGAACTCTAAGTCCGTCCAACCCCAAAGTCAGCCTTCACCACGAAGTAACATCGCCTGTCTACCCAGAGTACCTTGGTGCTCAAGGCATTTAGGTCTGGTTCCTAGGGACTATATACAGTTCACACAAACCTTTCCAAAACACTGGCTGGACTGAGGAGCTGTGACCTCAATCCTCCCAGCATTCCCTGCCCTAAGCACCATTTTCCTCCTGTTACAGAGACAGCTAATTTCTGGGGCCAACTGGTCACCTCACTTCCTGCTCATTGTTTTTTGGCCTCAGGCTCCTCAACAATCTACAGCTCAGAATTCTCAAGCATCTCCAGCAGCTGATTAAGGCTGCCAACCTGGACTCAGGGCTCCCCACTTACGGTGGGCACGGCTCCAATGATGAGCTTATCTCTTCCTCCCAGCACGCAGGGAGGGGCTGCATCCCCCCGTTACAGATGTAGCCACTGACACTTGGAACGGTTAGGTGAATAATGAAAGTGCAATTTCTACCTTTCTGCAGGAAAATATGGCTATTTATATCATAGGTATGTCAGTAAGGACAATGGCATACTTCATCGCCTAGCAATTCCACTCCTGGGTACATACACAAAAAATGCATACTTCTGGTCACCCAAGCATATGTACAAAGATGTCATGGCGGTGCCGTTGAAATCACCCTAAACTGGAAACTACCCATATGCCCAACAATGGCAGAGTAGAGTGCTAATGGGTAGTATCAAGCAAAGTAAGAGCACACAGCAACAAAAATGAACAATATACTCACAGACAAAAGCAGCCAGACAGAGGCTGGGCGCGGTGGCTTATGCCTGTAATTCCAGCACTTTGGGAGGCCAAGTCAAGGTGGGTGGATCACGAAGTCAAGAAATGTAGACCAGCCTGGCTGACGTGGTGAAACCCCATCTCTACTAAAACTACAAAAATTAGCCGGGCATGGTAGCAGACGCCGATAGTCCCAGCTACTCGAGAGGCCGAGGCAGGAGAATCACTTGAACCTGGCAGGTGGAGGTTGCAGTGAGCTGAGATTGCACCACTGCACTCCAGTCTGGAGACAGAGTAAAACTCCATCTCAAAATAAAACAAAACAAAAAGCAGCCAGAGAGAAATGTGTACATACTTTATGATTCTATTTGCATAAAGTTCAAAAACAGGCAAAACTCAACTACTATGTTAGAGGTCAAGATAGTGGCGGTCTTAAGGGAGGCGCCGTGGATGACGTGAACATTGAGAGTGAGTTTTGGAGGATGAGATGAGGAGTAACTTGAATGAAGAGCAAAGGGGAGGTCTGGGTACAAGGAATGCTCAATTCTAGATCTGAGCACAGTTTACACAGTTGTGTTCACGGAAACCTCAAACTGCGTGCTCATGAGTGACGCACTGCTCTGGATGTGCACTATGCCACAATAAAAAGTTTACTATTAAAAAAATGTGTTACTCCTCCCTGACTAAAGGAAGCTTGGGAAGGACAAAGAAAAATAAAAATGTTTAAAAAATTGTAATTTCACTTGGCAGGAATGTACCCTAAAAATAATAGACGCAACAGGTACAAAAATATGAATACATAAATGTATTCAACTTTGCATTCTTTAAATAGCTTAAAATTGGACTTGCCCTAAGTGACCGTCAAAAGCAGACTGGGGCTGGGCAGGGTAGCTCATGCCTATAGTCCCAGCCCTTTGGGAGGCTGAGAAGGGCAGATCACTTGAGGTCAGGAGTTCGAGACCTGGCTAACATGGTAAAATCCCATCTCTATTAAAAATACAAAGATAAGCCATGGGTGGTGGTAGGCGCCTACAGTCCCAGCTACTCAGGAGGCTGAAGCAGGAGAATCACCTGAGCCCAGGAGGTGGTGGTTGCAGTGAGCTGAGATCACACCACTGCACTCCAGCCTAGGCAACAGAGCAAGATTCTGTCTCAAAAAAAAAAGCAAAAAACAGATTAGTCGAACACTTTTTGGTATATCTAGCCAATTTTTTTTTTTTTTTTTTTTTTTTTTTTGAGACAGAGTTTCGCTCTTGTTACCCAGGCTGGAGTGCAATGGCATGATCTCGGATCACCACAACCTCCACCTCCTGGGTTCAGGCAATTCTCCTGCCTCAGCCTCCCGAGTAGCTGGGATTACAGGCACACACCACCATGCCCAGCTAATTTTTTTTATATTTTTAGTAGAGACGGGGTTTCACCATGTTGACCAGGATGGTCTTGATCTCTTGACCTCATAATCCACCCGCCTTGGCCTCCCAAAGTGCTGGGCCAATTTTTTAAAAGTATACTGCCTTTAGAGTGCAAGAGGGAGAAAAAAAACTTTTAAGTATATTGCCTTTAATAGTGACAGTTGTGTATTTGCATAGAAATACATTCCACATATAATGTCTGAAAACAGCTTGCTACCAAAAGAGCACAACTCTCTCTTGTGGAAAAGACATAAAAATATACAAATGTATTTAAGTAATTTAAATATCCTAGAGTTCTTTTCCCCGAAATAATTATTATTATTTCTCATCTCGATACCGGGATTAAAGACGGTCTTCCTTTTGATTTATCTATATTTTCCAATTTTTCTCTAATATATAATGTATGTGTATTAGTCATGTAAGAGTTTTTCGGCCGACAACATGATCCCATCTGGATGGTGGAGAGATCTCCTAAATATCGTTATTGAGTCATTCCCTGGCTGAGTACCGTGTCCCAGGCACACATCATTTTCTTTAGTCCCTTCCATGGCCCTATAAGGGACATACAATTCCCGTTTTAAAGAACAAACTGAGGCTCAGAAGGAATGTAAGTTACTCAAGGTCACTGACCTTCAGGAGTTTGAGACCAGCCTGGCCAACATGGTCACTGACCTTGAGAGGGGCAGACCCACAACTTGAAGTGTCTGCCCAGAAAACATAGTTCAGGCTGTGCACAGTGGCTACTGCCTGTAACCCCAGCACTTTGGGAGGCTGAGGTGGGTGGATCACCCGAGGTCAGGAGTTCAAGATCAGCCTGGCCATCATGACGAAACCCCATCTCTACTAAAAATACAAAAATTAGCTAGCATGGTGGTGCATGCCTGTAATCCTAGCTACTTGGGAGGCTGAAGGAGGAGGATCACTTAAACCCAGGAGGTGGAAGTTGCAGTAAGCCGAGATCGGACCACTGCACTTTACCCTGGGCAACAGAAGGAGACTCCATCTCAAAAAAAAAAAAAAGAAAAAGTGTATAAAAAAATCATTCTGTTTTGTGTTTTGTTTTCTTGTTTTATTTGTCTCCCTTTGTTTGATCACGTAACCCCTAAAATACACTGATCTGATGATAAATAATAATTAGAAATTACAGCTAAACAGATGCACCTAAACCACTATTAAAGTTGAGTTATGGCTGGACATGGTGGCTCACATCTGTAATCCCAGCACTTTGGGAGGCCGAGGTGGGCAGATCACTTGAGGTCAGGAGTTTGAGACCAGCCTGGCCAACATAGTGAAACCCCATCTCTACTGAAAATACAAAAAAAAATTTAGCCAGGTGTGGTGGCACCCACCTGTAGTCCCAGCTACTCAGGAGGCTGAGGCAGGAGAATCCTTGAACCTGGAAGGTGGAGGGTGCAGTGAGCCAAGATCGTGCTACTGCACTCTGCCTAGGTAACAGAGCAAGACTCCAGC